AATTTCTTTTCATAGCTTTTATGATTCGAGCAATTAAGTCTGTAAAGGTTTTTAAATCCTGGTGCCCTATGGTCATCTAACTTGGGAGTCATCGATCGAAAGTTTGTTGCATGGTCATTTAGAAAGCTTAAACATAAGAATTCTTCAAATAAAGAAAAAAATTGAAAATCAGGCAAAAAAAGGTGTATGAAACAGAAGACGCTCCCAATGCTTTCAGTATGTCTCAAACACTTATTTGGGAAAGTTGACTTTTGATAAGGGATTATTAGTTTAGTTAAATCCTAGAGATTGAAACAATCAAACAATGGAGAATCATTGATTATTGACTAGCAATTAGTGAGATTTGCCTAAACTAGAGATGTGAGAATAGTATAAAATTCAACATTAGTTCACATACTTGAAAAGAGTGAAAAAAGTTTGGAGGTGTGTGAATTTTACGAGTGATGAAAGAATATATTTGACCATTGAGGGTCGGGAATTGAAACAACTTATAAATTCATAATACTATGCTTAATTTTTCACATACACACCCATCAATTTTACATTGGAAAAGTAGATTTTAATTTATGTGTTGTGATTTTGAAGTTGTGATTAAATTTAATATTAAAATTGCAATTCTGAGATAAAAATTCAGGTTAGTTAGCTAAATCTTTTTGCTTTACTTGATTGATTGGCCATCAATTAGGTAATTAGCATTACGTGTTGGTGTTTTGTTAGGTTTTAGTTTTGTTTGAGAAAAAACAAAAAGTCAAGATTGGGGGTGTGAAAAAGGTAATTTTATTACTTATTTGTGGCGCTAAATAATGATATTTTATTGTTTTTTGAATAAAATTCTACGTAATTTATATTAAATTGTATTTTGTAGGTAATACTTTATGTTTGATCAATAATTGAAGAAATGAATGTAAAATAGTGGAAAACGGCAAAAATTCAAAGTACGTTGAACGTTGAAGCAAGCAATTAATTGGGCCTCAATTTGGACTTCTAATTAGATACAAAATTTGGCGATTTGAAAATAAATATAGAGAACAATACATAAATCCTATATATAAGAATTACATTTCAAAAATAACAAAGTTCAAAAAAAATTTCAAAAATCAAGTGTTAAATCAATTAATTAAATATTTTTAATTATAATATAAAACAATTACCCCAATTTATTAAATTTCAAATTCAAATAATTGTCTTTCTCTCTACTCTATATCCTCTCCCTACCCCTTCTCTCCATCGGAGGCGACCATCTACTCTGGCGGCCCCTCCAGTGACAGTTTCGGTGATCGCTCCGACGACTCAAAAATCTCCAGAAAATTAAAATTGGAAATCACACTGCACCCCCATGGATTTACCTACCACCACCCCACCCCTACCCCCACCTCCTAAAAAATTATCGAAAAAATTTCAAGTCACTTTATATAATCAAGCCAATGACACGCGTCATCCATGACTAATTGTGACCAAATTTGTGTTTAGTGTGACTGTCTGTGACCAATTGAATCTTAATTGTGACTGTATATGACCAAGTCACAACTAACACAAAATCAGTCACAACCAATCACAATCGGTCACAATTAACACAAAATTTGATGAAAAGTGTCACTTGCCAATATTTGACTTTTTTAAGAACCCTTTTTTTNCTCCAACGGCTATTCATGATCCCTCTGACAAACTGCTCCAATGACCACTCCAATGCATGCTCCGATCAACCTACCCACCCCATCCATCCATTCCCAACTTCCAAAAAATTTTCAGAATTTCAAGTCACAATCGGTCATAATTGGTCACAATTGGTCACAACGTGTTACAATCGATCACAACAAACTACCCGATAGTCAAATCACGGTCTGGTCATAAAACAAAAAAGGTTCGCCGACACCACCAACTCCGGTTGTAGCCTTCTTACTCTGCAGCGGCGCCAACTACGCCTCCACCATCTCCACATTAATCCAGTCATCCTTACACCCACAACCATCACCATCTCGACCTTAATGTTGTTTCCAGAAAGTGGATGAGCTTGTTTAATTTCAAAAATTAAATAAACTCCGCCGGCAAAGAATCCCAAGGATAAGAGCTCCACCGATCCAGCACTAGAACTTTCGGCCGCCGCCTCCGTCACGAACAAAACCACCAACAAAATCACCATTTTCACTACAAAACCACATCCACAGCCGCCGCCGCCACCACAAAACACCACACCACCCCCACCCCACCGACAGATCCACCTCAACAAAAACACCGTCAGCGCAGCAAAAGGACCGCCACTACAGCGGTGTTGAACTGTCGTTGCGTGGTGAGCCTCCGCCTGCATCAGCCGTCGAACGTCGCAACGCTGCCGGTCACGCCATTCATAGAGAGAGGACAGAAAAAAGTACTCCTTTTTTACTATGATTTTTCTACGAATTTTTCCTAATAAGATTTTAACGACACATTTTTTTTGTAATTAATGTTCATAACCTACAAGATATTTACCCTCCAAATAATATCACTATATGTTACAAGTTGTGTATGAAACTCCTGAAGAAAATAACAAAAAAAGTTATATTTTTTTATCAAATCATCATGTTACTATAATCACCAAAGATATATGAATACCTTGAATGAAGATGATATTGCTTAAACGCTTCAACAAGACAATATGAAACATATTTCATCAGAATTGTGGTATTGGGGACGTTGACATATAAGATATGGATGATTCGATAAAATGACTATCATTAATTGAAGTTAGGAGGAATAGTTGTACTATTTTTCTTTCACTCAAACTTTGTCCCATTGAATTTTTTTTGTAAGATTTTAACGAGGCGTCATTTTATTGATTTATTTTTTCATAATTAACTATACTCTACTTTCCCTTCAGTTGGTATTTTTGTCCCTCCGAATTTTTGTCAAATTAAATTTTTAACGATTTAATTATTGTGCAAATAGTTATCAAATGGGGGAGTATTGTAAAATTATGATATAATTGTTGATAATTATGTAGTCTTATCAAGATATTTAGATAAAATCAAATGGGGGAGTATTGTAAAATTATGATATGATTGTTGATAATTATGTAGTATTATCAAGATATTTAGATAAGTCCACTCACCCTAAAAGAGTTATCATATTGTAACTCTCATCAAAATCCTATCCAAGGGTCGTGATATAATGATATATAACACAATTTTATTGACTCTTATTTTTCTTTTCTCATACTTGTCTCTTGTTCTTTTAATTTCACAAGATCAAGCTTTATTGATGCCTCTGAGAAAATAATGGGAGTCAAAATTGTAAACTCTATCATGCCATGTGAAGAAAATAAAGGATCAAATTAATGGACATAAAGACTATTGCTAGTTTGTTACCATTGGAGAACTATACAAAGAAATCAACATGCAACAACTTGCATTTTACGTTGACGGCATTAAAGCAAACTGTGAATTTGACTCTTCACTTAAAGAAGTCATATGAGCACTGGTACTCGAGAATTTACAAAGGCCATAATTCAAATAATATTATCATGAGGGGAGTAAATATACGTTGTACTATTTTTCCCTTGACTAAAGTATTGTCTCATTGAATTTTCATGGCAAGATTTTTAATGAGACAACTTTTATATCATATTCAAAGGAATAATATACTATTTTTCCTTCATTATGATTTTTCTTACGTGATTTTCCTAATAAGGTTTTAATGAGGGCATATTTTTTGTATAATGAATGTCCATAACATACAAGATATTTATCGTCAAAATAAGACGTTTATATGTATGAGACTCCTGAAGGAATCTACAGGAACTATTTTTGGATCATCATGTTACTACAGTCATCAAATATTGATAAATATCTCGTATAAAGATAGTGTTATTTGAGAACTATACAAGACAACATGAGACATACTTCACCATAAATTGTAGTATTGAAGACATTGACATACAAGACAAAGATGAATTGATACGAGAATTGAAATCAGTGGAGCAGACATACTCTTTTTTCTTCGATCAAATTTTGTCCCATTGAATTTTCTTGACAATGTTTTAACGAGAAATATATTTTATAATGTGTCATTCAAGTTGGAGTGTTGTAAATGGTAAATTTATTAGTGAAAGACAATTGTACCTATGCAACCCTAAAAATTATTATCATTGTATTCATAATCCTTTCTATAAATGTTGACTTTGATTTTTAATAAAATACACAAATTTATTAACTTCTCTTTTTATTCTCTCTAATTTATAACAATATACATAATTTTATTGACTCTTTTGTTTTCTTTTAATAAACTTCTCTCTTGTTCTTTTAATTTCACAAGGTCAGGCTTTTTTATGCCTCGAGAAAATAATGAAGTCAAAATGGGACACACTGTCATGCCATGAGAAGAAAATAATGGACCTAAAAACTTGTTAACTTGTTATCATTGGGGAACTATATGAAGAAATCAACATGTAACAACTTGTATGTTACATTTTGTAGGGCATTACAGCAAACTGTGTGAATTTCGAATATCGATTCTTAGCTTAAAGAAGTCATCTAAGCTGCTGTACTCGAGAAATTACAAAGGCCTCGATTTTTGGTCCAAAATAAAATAGTTTTTAAGTTCGAAAGTTTGTAATTCTGTCCTTTTACATTGATGACATGCTACATTTTCAGAAGATAAGGAGCACGTTGAAATCATTCGTAACACATGTTCTGGGGCGTTGAACTCTAGCGATAAAATTACCAACTTCGTGTCAAATTTACAAGAAAATTAAACGCTACCGACTTCATCCCATTAAAAAATTCGTGAAGTAATAGACACAAGAACGAGACTAATAATATTCATCACACCAATCATATCACACATTGTAACAATAGCAGTAGAAGGTAGAATATCAATAAACAGCAATCTAAACTTCCTACCACTATATGGTTTTTTATTCTATTTTCATTATAATACACCTAATTTCCACAATACAACTTCAGAGTAAAAACAATGCTGAGATTTTTCCACAATCTCCGATTTGAGCAAAACATCAGAACTAGACATTAGCTCTGGATGGAAAGCTCTGGAGCAGTCACTCCCAGAGTAATTCCATCCACAATCTTCGACATCGAATTCCCATTAGCAACAGACATTGGTTTTTGCTCTCCGTAAGCCAAGTTATGGACACCAATGGCAGCCCTACCAGATGGATCTAGGTTTTCCGACCAAGAACTATCCCACTCCACAGCTTTAGCAGTGCTGCATGCCACACTAGCTCCCCCCGGAACAGTTACATTAGCTGAATTCTGTAGATTCAAATGAATATGATAATCAGATGAGCTCTAATGTCACTGTATAACAAGAACATGTTCGATCCACAGAGTTAAGGTAGATTAGACAGGATAATCAATGATATACAATGAACAAGATTTTAAAATCTTTTCCCGTTTTTACTACCATTAGTGTCCATCCACTTTACCAAATATGTCAACTGCATATTAATGATGGTATTAACAGAAATACCTGTGGAAAGAATCTCTCAAAGATCATTCTATAGTAGTATGCTTCCTTCGTGGTTGGGGTATTATGCAGGAAGATATGTGCAGCATTAAGCATCATCTTGTCAGTTACCTATTAGTAGAAATTGGATGAATTAACAACCATGGAAATTACAGCTTAAAAGAATGAGAGTAAGCTATGATCAACAAATAGATTCAGACAGAATTATTTGCAGGAAAATATACAGTAAATCAGCAGCAGCTAGTAAAGAGTATAGTTCAAAATTAGTGAAAATAACAATAATATACATACATGCTCCTCAGCATGGGCTTTAAGCCCATCTATCCAACTATATCCAACACCATCACTAAATTGTTCTTTTTGTCTGTACAGAATATGCTGCAGTTGGTCAAATAGAGCACGTTAGAGAGATGAAATTCTCAACTGAGAAATTTAGGGGTGACAATTTGACAAATCCATTATTTAAGGACCTTTGGAAGATACGGATGTTCCTCATCATCAAAGGCCCTCCTTAAGATCCACTTCTCCATATGCCCCTGTTCCAGTTTGATCTGAAATGGATTGAATTAACGAGGAAAATCAAGATCAGTTTATAATCAATTAGGAATATGGTAAATGACAAAAGTCCCACTAGTAACTCCATGTTTCTTGAAAAACAGGGGGAAAAAAGTTACCATCTTCCACTCGGGGTCAATGCTCATAGCGACATTGATGAATTCTTTGTCCAGAAATGGAACACGGGCTTCTACACCCCATGCAGATGTTGACTTATTTGCTCGCAGGCAATCATATTGGTGAAGAGCCTTTATCTACAAGTAGATGAAAAATTCAATCAATTTGATTTCATTTATGTTTTCAAAATCCTCTAGACAAGGGAAACAGGAAATGTAAGGTTTATACAACCTTGCGACACGTTTCCTGATGGAACTCTTCTTTGTTAGGTGCCTTGTGGAAGTACAAGTATCCCCCAAAAATCTCATCAGAACCTTCACCTGATATTACCATCTTTACTCCCAGTGATTTAATCTTCCGTGACATAAGGAACATCGGAGTGCTTGCTCTGATTGTCGTGACATCATAAGTCTCAATGTGATATATAACATCCTCAATAGCATCAATACCATCCTGCAATATAACATAAAGAATTGATCATTCATTCAAGAAGAAACTATAAGGACGCAGATAGAACAATCCCCTAAAAAATAAAAATCATTCCTCGTTTGGATTGGAAGAGAGTAATGTACCTGAACAGTAAAGTGAAACTCATGATGTACAGTACCCAAATAATCAGCAACTTCTTTTGCGGCCTTTAGATCTGGAGAACCCTGTTCAAGAAGTGAAAAAGACACCATTATAAAGGATTACTATAAGCAGTTTTTTCAGGATCTAAAATCTATCAACATGATAGGACCGACCTCAAGGCCAACACAGAAAGAATGAAGTTGCGCTCCCCATTGCTTGGCAGCTTTCGTGTCGGCCAAGTGACGAGCAGTAATAGAAGCTACCAATGATGAATCAAGTCCTCCGGATAAAAGAACTCCAAAGGGAACGTCGGTCATTAACCTTTTAGTCACAGCCTGCATTAATTTTTCCCCCAACCACAAAGTTAAATTAAAATAGCTTCTAATGAAACATATCATCGTAGATTGCTGTTTGTAACTGAAAAAGATTTTACAAAAGCTTCTTGTTCATAAGGCGTTAATTTGCTAGACTCACATCTTCAAAGGCACGTCTGAGAACTAGGGGATCGTAAGGAGTTGAAGGAATAGATTCAGAGAACCAAGGAGGATTATACCATCTTCGAAGCCCACCAGTCTTGCTCGAATACAGATGTCCTGGTGGAAAGACTTCAAAATGTTCACACTCATCATTCAAACCTTTTAGTTCAGATGATATCCATATTGAGCCTGGAGACAATTTGGAAAAGTTATCAACCAGAAACCAAAAAGACCAGCAGAGTATAAGTAATATAACCGAGTCCAGTAATCTGTACCATCAAGTCCCCAGCCAATATATAAAGAAGTGATCCCAATGGCATCACGAGCAGCAAGAAAGCTGTTATCCCGGGTATCCAGTAAAACAAAAGAGAACATTCCGTCCAGCATGTCGACAAAATTTTCTCCATACTCTTCATACTGTTGATAAGAGATCAATTGTGAAGCGGTGAAGCCATTAACATAGTATCACAACTTACTGTTGAAGGATAAATTTTGAACTTATAACCGTGTCCCCTCTGTAAAAGTTTAAGACGTTAGATACTTACAAGATGTGCAATAACATCACAATCGCTTCCTGTCCAGAATTTATGATTAGGCAAATGCTTACGCAATACCTCGTGGTTGTATATTTCTCCGTTTACCTAAATACGTCGATGCAAGAGTTAACAATCAAATAAATGCTACGTTCAAACTGAGGTATAGAAACTTGAAATTTTGCATGAATGCTGAAAGATTGTACTAGTAGCAAATGATTAAGCCAGGTGATCTACCGTAACAACAATCTTCTTGTCTTCATTGTAAAGAGGTTGATCACCAGACGCAGGATCAATAATTGCGAGCCTCTGGTGTGCCAGATAACAATCACCATGTTGATACAACCCACTCCAATCGGGACCACGATGCTTCAATCTATTAAATAATGGTATCCAAAGGTCAATTTTAAGCAGTAGAATTTCTATATTAGGAGAATCCATAATCAAATAACTTTTTTTTTCATTTTAGAGTCTCCTTTAATTGAAAGAAAATAAAAATAAAAAAATCAATATGTTTTACCTAATAATCAAAGAACTGAAAGCAATTTATAAGCCTGATTATTAAACATGGCATTGCTCTAAATATTGATGATGATATGGCCCTATAAATTCAAAACAGTAGAATTGACTATTCAACTTGGTTGAATTACTCACCTTTTTGCACAAGTTTTAACAGCATATTCGATATCTTCATATGCAACTTGATTTCAATAACTAATGGGCCAAGATCTTCAAGTTAGAAATAGATTTATTCTTCCGGTTCATTGAGACAATCAATTTATTCAAATATCACAAAATGAATATCAAAATGACAAAAAATCAGCATTGCTTAGGCAGCAAAGTTCCAAAATTAACGTGACAAACGTAATGGACAAAAAAAAAAAAGTTTGCCTGCGAGAAAGCTCGAGGACGCGAACCCTTTTGGCCTGGCAGTCAGAACAACCCAAAACTGCTAGTATTCCACACATGATGAAGATGAACACAAAATGGCACCAAAAAATATGTAGATAACAGAAAAAATAACGAGCAATCTGTAGAAATAGAAAGGGATAAATAGAGATATAGAGCACGAGAGCGTTTCGAGGAACAGAGAGAGTTCCAACGTGGGAAGGGCAGAAAATGAAGGACCGACGTATTGGGAGAGGATAACACGTTACTGATTACTGAAGAAACGAAAAAACACTTATTTTCCAGTAAGCACTTATTTTTCCAATAAGCTTACACCGCTTGAATACCAGAGGCCACGTATCGGTATTTATAGCGTGCCAAGGCGGAAAAAAAAAAACGCATTTATCATGCGGCGACGTTTCTTCGAGTTTCTGTGGGACCACTGCACGGCGTTATCCTGTACACTTCCTTTAGGATTTTGACACGTCATAGTTTATCCATTTCCAATTTCTTAGGCTGACTCAGCATTACGTTGGTCAAAATAATTGTACCAAGTTTTTCAAACTTACACGTGTATCCATCGAGGGATTTTGGGAAGGCCCCATAAGAAATTACCTCCAATTGGCCGATCATTTTTTTATTTCTAAACTTTTGAAATTGGTTACAATTATCAAGAAAATGCTCGTCGGTGGATAACATTTTGTCACATTTTTAAGACCTCGGAATATATAGATGTTGTACTCAGTCAAGACTTATATAATTTTTAAAAGTTACGATATATTCAATTAAAATTATTAAAAATTTCTATAAGTCTTAGGGTATTTAAATTGTCAATAACTTTTATAAAAGTTTTTAGGGTACTAATTTGTAAGCAGACAGTACAAAAGTAAAATATCAAAATTTGTCTCTCATTCATCCCGCGAGTTTAGGAGACTCACAAAAAAAAAATGTATTTTTTGTTTATTTCAATATTTCTTTCATTTTCCCTTCGATGGACATTAGAGTCATGATTAAAAAAATTATTTTTTCTATCGATTATATTTGTTAGTTTTTCTTTTTTCTCTCTCTTTTATTGTTTATCTCCATATTATATGAAAAGATTAAATTGTAAAAGATTCTTATAAATTTTATTTTTTATTTTTCATTCATTTTTTAGGAAAAAGATTTATTTGTAATTAAATTCTAAGAATTTAAATATATTGATTTCCTGTTTGCTCTTTAAAAGTGTGTGATATTGATAATATTGAATATTAAATTTTTTTTATTTTTTATCAATATTTATATATATTATTTTGATTATTATTTATTTATTTAAAGTGATTTAATTTTTTTTACTTTAAAAATATTTTTATTATATGGCAAGGAGAAGAGAAAGTTGGGAACTACCACCTCGTATGTGAAAACTTCACACCGTTGCACTATATTCAAATAGTTTCTATTTTAAATGAAAATCTTCAAAAATCTTTTTCAATTCTACAAAAGTTTATNGATACACTTGTCAAAGTCATAGCTTAGCATCTTAATTGGGTAAATAATTGATCCAAGTCTATCAATTATTGTTGAGATAATTCTCCGAATTCGTGGGTGTTGAAAGTGAAGGACAATAATCGATATGAATCTATCAATTATTGCTACAATTATAAATTATGTTTTATTTCAAAAATATATATTTTTATATCTAGATTAAGAGTTGATCTTTGATACAATTTTCAAAGTAATAGCTCGACATCTTAATAAGGCAAATAATCGATCTGAGTCTATCAATTATTGTTGAGATATATCAGAATTAGTGGGTGCTACCAAAGTAAATGACAATAATCGACTTGAATCTATCAATTATTGTTATATTTATAAATAATGCTTTATTTCAAAAAAAAAAAAAATTCATATCAGAGTCAATCATTGATACATTTGTCAAAATAAGAATGTGTTTGATGGACTTTATTTTTCATGGAAAATACATTTTTTTTAACCCAAATTTATACTTTCGAGTTGTTTGATTAACACTTTTTTTCTATGAATTTTTTTTTTTCAGAAGTTGATTACGTGATTATATTTCTCTCAAAAATAAGGAAAATATTTTTTTTTAAAAGGAGGTGTAGATTTTTATTTTTCAGGAAATTCACTATTTCTTAACTTTTGACATTGGTTACAATTATCATGAAAATGCTTGTCGATGGATAACATTTTCTCACATTTTTAAGACCTCAAAATATATTGATGTATTAAGTCAAGGCTTTTATAATTTTCAGAAAGGTTTTAAAAGTTACGATATATTTAATTAAAACTATTAGAAATCTCTATAAGTTTTAGGGCATTTATATTGTCAATAACTTTTGTAAAAGTTAAAAGTTTTCAAGGTACTAACTTTTAAGCAGATAGTACAACAATAAAATCTCAAAATGTGTCTCTCATTCATCCCAAGATTTTAGGAGACTCGCAAAAACAATATATGATTTTTTTTGTTTATTTCAATATTTTTTTTTCCTTCGATGGATATTAGAGTCATGATTAAAAAAATATTTTTTCTATCAATTATATTTGTTACTCTTTTTTTCTTTTTTCTCTCGCTTTTATTGTTTATCTCCATATTATACGAAAAGATTAAATTGTAAAAGATTCTTATAAATTTCATTTTTTTATGAAAAATATTTATTTCTAATAAATTATAAGAATTTATATAAAAAAAACTTAATTTCATTTATAATTCTGATAATATTAAATTAATATATTTATATATATATTATTTATTTAGTTAAAGTGATTTAATTTTTTGCTACTTTAAAAATATTTTTATTATATGACAAGGAGAAGAGAAATTTGGGAGCTACCACCTCGTATGTGAGAACTTCACACTATTACATTATACTCAAATGATTTCTATTTTAAATGGAAGTCTTCAAAAATCTTTTCTATTCTACAAGAGTTTATACAAATTTTAAAATGAAAGTCTATAAAAGTTAGTTTACAAAAAAAACTTTCACTTATTCCATAAAAATCTATAACTCAAAATTCACCACTTAGAAAATTTTATAAATGTCTTCAGAAATTCCAAGTGAATACAACCCCTAATATTTTAACTTTTAAACTTATATTTATAAATGATGTTTTATTTCAAAAAACATATATTTTAAAATCCGGATTAAGATTCGATCATTAGTACACTTATCAAAGTCATACCTCATCGATACACTTGTCAAAGTCGTAGCTTAGCATCTTAATCGGGTAAATAATTGATCCAAGTCTATCAATTATTGTTGAGATAATTCTCCGAATTCGTGGTGTTGTCAAAGTGAAGGACAATAATCGATATGAATCTATCAATTATTGTTGTATTTATAAATAATGTTTTATTTCAAAAAAATATATTTTTATGTCTATATTAAGAGTCAATCATTGATACAATTGTCAAAGTAATAGCTCGATATCTTAATCGGGTAAATAATCGATCCGAGTCTATCAATTATTGTTGAGATATATCAGAATTAGTGGGTGTTACCAAAGTAAATGACAATAATCGATCTGAGTCTATCAATTATTGTTATATTTATAAATAATGTTATATTTCAAAAATATTTTTTTTTCATATCTAACTCATGTTTGGCCCTCATTAAAATTATATAATTCATTTTTCTTTCTTCATATCAACTATACATTTTTTAACAAAATAATATTACACGTAAACCCAAAAATAAAATTTTTTTTAACCACACATTCTTCAAAAAAATATTATTCCAAACATTAAAAATGGTAAAGAATGGGTGTCAAACGAGGGCCTAGAGTAAGGGTCGATCATTGATACATTTGTCAAAATAAGAGTGTATTTGATGGACTTTATTTTTTATGGAAAACGACATTTTTCCACCAAAATTCCTACTTTTGAGGTGTTTGATTAACATTTTTTTTATGGAAAATATTTTTTATAAGTTGATTACATGATCATATTTTTCTTAAAAGCAATGAAAATATTTTTTCCGAGGAAATGTAGGCTTTTATTTTTCAAGCAATTCACTATATCTATCTCTCATCTACCCCCTCTCCCATCCACTAATAAAAGATGAAGAAATATAATATTTTTAGGTTGAAAATTAAATTAATCAAACATGTTTAATTAATAATTTTCTTGCAAATAAGTTTTAGAGAATTCAATTACTTAGAACTTATTTTATTTACATGTAAATTTTATATTTACAATCAAACGCACCCTAGTATTCTGGTATATTATTCGGGTAAATAATTGTCCAAATTAGTGGATGTTGTCGAAATGAATAGTAGCTCAGTATCTTAATCGGGTAAAAATTGATATGTGTCTCAACTATAAATTATTGTTGAGACATATTCTTTGAATTAATGCATGCTACCAAAGTGAATGCCAATAACCGATCCGAATCTATTATTGTTACAATATATTTTATTTACCCTTTATGATAAGAGTTATTTTAAAAGATTATCTGCTGTTAATTGAATATTTCCTTTTGTGACCATCCAATGGGATAAAAAATGTGAAAGAGTCAAGACTTTATCTACAATCAGCTGAGTCTACAAATTCTTAAAATTATGTGTACAACACTTTGGAGAAAATTTTTGTCAATATCCTAAAGAAAGAGCAACAGCTATCCATTTAAGTTTCACCTTGTCTACACGAAAAAAAATCTTGATTTTTTTTTTTCTTGAGAAGTCCATAATAATTTTTGCATTCAAATCACAAGATTAGTAGCGTAAGCGTCATGCCATAAATTCAATCGATTTTGGACAAACACTTTTAATATATGATTGATGTATTTTATTTATGGCAGGTTTATTATTTAATTAAATTAATATTTTGCTAAATTAAATAATAGAGTTAGTGTATTTAAGTTTTGATAATTTGTTAATTATAAGGAGTTGTGATTGTGAGATATAGATTACATACGACTGAATCTTAAATCATTCGTGTTCATAAGTAATAATGAGATATGTATATCGTTATTACAGATAGACCATCACGTGTGACATTTCTTACTTGTTAAAAGTGTCGGGGTCGAGTCAAGCCCACTTGGATATCTAGTTTAGTTTAAGTGTCGGGTCAAGCCCACTTGGA